ACATGAATATATTTGACCAAAAAATATGAGTTAAAAACTTTATTTTATATTCAATGAACAAGTAAACATATCTCAATGGATAAAGATAATCCCTATTAAGTGAAAATAAATTAACACGTATCACTCTCATTATCTTGATCCAAAGAACACTAAAATCTGGACAGTTCACCCGTTGTGTGTGTATATATATATATGTAATTAAAGGAGGGCATAAACAATATAAGTAATAAATAAATTTGAAAAAAAAATTGGCGTGCGTAAAAGAAGAGAATATTTTGCTTTGAAACTCTTCCTCCTAGTTGGATGCCAAACCACAAACTGCTCTTTACCGCACAAGTAAATGTTAGTTTAAAGCTTTTTCTTGCCATAATCTAATAAAGGTTTTGTTGCTATGTATTTTAATGTTGAATATAAAATTCAGCCCGAAAAATTGAATATAAAATACAAGCTGTTTTTAGTTTACTAATGAACATTTCGAAGTGATCTTCTGGGTATATTTTTTCTATTGGAGATCCATGTCAATATTTTTGAACATAAAAATGCATGCCAATGACCATGGCTTTATCTATGACTAAGTACATGAATATATTGACCCAAAATATGAGTATAACTTTATTTTATATTCAATGAACAAGTAAACATATCTCAATGGATAAAGATAATCCCTATTAAGTGAAAATAAATTAACACGTATCACTCTCATTATCTTGATCCAAAGAACACTAAAATCTGGACAGTTCACCCGTGTGTGTGTATATATATATATATGTAATTAAAGGAGGGCATAAAACAATATAAGTAATAAATAAATTTGAAAAAAAATTGGCGTGAGTAAAAGAAGAGAATATTTGCTTTGAAACTCTTCCTTCTAGTTGGATGCCAAACACAAACTGCTCTTCACCGCAAGTAAATGTTAGTTTAATAGCCATTTTCTTTGTTTAGTTAGATCATTTCTAGATAATGTTTTTGGCCTGAAGTAAAGGTTGATTTGAACTTCAACGTTCAATATAATTTTGAACATGACATTTTGGTTAATAATAAAATTAACAAGCTTCCTATAAAGCAAGCTTCCTTCTAGTTGGATGCCAAACACAAGCTGTTCTTTACCGCAAGTAAATGTTAGTTTAATAGCCATTTCCTTTGTTTAGTTAGATCATTTCTAGATAATATTTTTGGTCTGAAGTGAAGATTGATTTGAACTTCAACGCTCAATGCAATTTTTGAACATGACATTTTGGTTAATAATAAAATTAACAAGCTTTTTTATAAAGCAAGCTTCCTTCTAGTTGGATGCCAAACACAAGCTACTCTCTACCACAAGTAAATGTTAGTTTAATAGCCATTTCCTTTGTTTAGTTAGATCATTTCTAGATAATGTTTTTAGTCTGAAGTGAAAATTGATTTGAACTTCAACGCTCAACGTGATTTTTGAACATGACATTTTGGTTAATAATAAAATTAGCAAGGTTCCTATAAAGCTTGCATTTTCTTCTTGGTGTTGATTTTTATCTTCTATTTCAAAATTTTTATTATTCCAATGACTAGGACATTGAAAAGGGATTATTAGAACTCAGAAGGAGGGCAAGGACAACAAAGACATTTGCTGACAACAGTTATATTATAGGATCAAGTTAACAATAGCTTCTTCTGGGGTGACATATACAAGGACACTTAGCATCACAATCTGCGTTAATTTTGCATTCACCAATAATTCCTGCTCCTGAAACAATCAAATTCACCAATAATTAATTTTTAACTTTGCATGAATTTAAGAAAAATATCAAATTTTAAATGGGAAAGTATTTCATTTAATTTTGGGGCTCGTTTGGTTCAATGGAAGCATTTTGAATGAAATGGAATTGAAAATAAAATTGAAAATGGAACCGAAAATAGAATTAGAAATGGCTTTAAAAATATGTTTGGAACTCACTAATACTCATATTTAAACTGAATTAGAAAGTATTTCATATTGTTATAATAATGTGGTTAAAATTATTATATGATAAAGAGTTGCTCCGGCTTGGAACTCATCAATGCTCATATTTAAATTGAATGAGAGTTCTAAATATAAAATTATTAGCTCAAAATATTATTATAATTTAAGTAAGCAATTGTAGAGAAAAGAAATAAGACTTATTGTTAACATTTTTAAAAGTTTAATAAATAATAAAGTATGATGATATAATGTAATTTATATAATTAATTCTACTTAATAACATAATGCTGATTGTTGTTGTTGTTGTAATGTAAGAGAAAAGAAAAGAAAAAAATGTTGATAGTGCTTTTAAGGTTAAAAAACTAAAAATAAATTCAACAAAGTTAAAAGATAAATTTAGAATTCAATGTGGAATGAAAAGACCAAAAATATACATTTTTTTTGTTTTAGTGAAATTATATAAATCATTGAATATCACTTTTATTCTTATCACATGCCATAATTCCATTGAAACTTTGTGAAATTATCTATATTGATAAGTTGTGATTTTTTATTTAATTTTTGTGATTCTTCAAATAAAATTTATTATTTTTTAAATAAAAGTTATAATTAGAGTTTGTTATTTTGAAAACTTGTTTTTCAATAATAAAAATTATACTTGATAAATTGTGATTTCTTATTTAACTCTCATGATTCACAAAAAAAAAATTGTGATCAAGGCTTTTATTTCTTAAGCAAAAGCTGTGATTGATACTTGTTATTTTTAATAAAAGTAAAATAATTTTTTCATTTTAAAATTTAATAACAAAAAAGTTCTTAAAAATTATAATGAAATTATGAAATTTTGAGAAATCATATTATCACTTATACAATTTCAAAGGACTTGATTATATTTTTTCTTTAATAATTTTCAATAAATATATAGTATTTTTCTGTTTAATACCACTGAATTTTACTGCCATTCTTTTGCAACCGACTTATAGTATATAATTCAAACGATGATTTCATATGAGCATCTTTCTTTATTAAGTTTGATAACGTTGTTACTTGTTATACTATAGCACACACATTCTATTTAAAGATAAAAAATTAAAAAAAAAAGAGTAAACAATAATTTTACTCTTGAATTATAGATCTAAGAATATATCTAATCTCTAATATCTTCCTGTATGTGTATTTTTCTCCTTCAATATTTAAAAGTTGTAATTTGATCCTTCTTGTTAAATACAAGAATATTTACCATCAAGTCTTATGAAAAAAAAAATATAATCAAATTTAATGGTCAATATTTTTGTATTTAATGAGAGAGCATATACTTGGCTAAAAAAAAAAAAAAGAAAACAGAGAGAGAGCATATTGTAAGGTTTTTAAAGTTTAATAATTTAATAGTTTTAATATTAAGAGAGAATTTCAATTAAGGATCATGAAAGAGAAATATTTATTAGTGGGTCCCAAAAAAATCTGAAAATTCTCTACAAGATTTTTAGAATGAATTGATTGAAATAAAATAGGTGGCTGAAAAGATCGAAATGCTCTTCTTGAAAATTAACAAGTATTTAATTACTACATAATTTTACTTATTAATTGCTTACTTGTACTTGTTAATTCCTTAACAATGCTTGTTAAATAATTAACTAGTTAATTCCTTGGTTTTATAATCTTAAATTATTAATTTCATAACTTTACTTATTAATTTATCAACATAATGTATTAACTACTTAATTTGACTTGTGAATCCTTTACAAGATTTGTTCATTCAATTTGATCAAAAAGCACCATAATTAATTATTAATTTTTTTACTTTACTTATTAATTTATTAATATCAGTTGTAAATTACTTGACTTCACTTGTCAATAATCATACTAATATCATTTGTTACTTATCTATGACTTCACTTGTCAATAATCATACTAATATCATTTGTTACTTATCTATCTTTTATTTATTAATTTATCAATATCAATTATAAATTATATAATTTATTAACAATCATACTAGTTCAATCATTTTATTCTAAATGCATAATCGTTTTTTTCTTTGTTTTGAACAGGGGTATTCAGGTCTTTTTAGCCACCAACTTTATTTCAGTTTAGGTCAAAAATTTTGAAGAGAATTTTTAATTTTTTTTAGAATTCATTGATAAATATTTCTCTTCTATCATCCTTAATTAAAATTCTCTCTTATATCTATCTATAAAATGCTATGCAAAACTTTCTAGCTTCCACTCTCAAGACTCTTTTAAATACACTTTATATTATTATTTTTTAAAATATAAATATAAATTATTAAAAATATTTTTATTTAATAATAACTGTGGGTCATGATATTGAGAAGATAAATACGTGAAAATTAAATAAATAGAAAAATTTACAATATTAAAATAAATTTATTTAATAAAATTTTATTTTATTAAAATATTTTATATTTTCAAAATTTTTAAAAAATGTAATATAATTTGAAAGGGAATTAGTAGAGTTATCAATTAGGGTCAAGTTTAAATAGGTTGGTTCTAATAAGTCCTATCATGTTTTTTAGTTTTTTTTACAAAGCTCAACTCTAACCTTTAGGGTTGAAAGGCCGGCCCTCATGGGCTTTTTTTTATTTTTTAAATTTAAAAATTTAAAAAACATATTTATAATTTTAAAAAAGTTATTGCACATAAAATTAAATTTAAAAAATAAATTTAAAATAATTTACACCATGATAAATAAAAAATTTAAATATTTAAATTTAATATTAAATAGTAACATCAAAATTAATATCAATAAAAATTAGACTTAATTAATATTATTAGCTAAATTTTAACGAATGAATGAATGAGGGACGAATGAGTCTAATATATTTATTTTTTTAATTATATATTTAATTTTTTATATTATAATTTTTTAAAAAAATAAAAAAAAACTTAAAAAGACGGACTGTAATTTTAGAAGGTTGGCCCTTTTATTTTTAAATATTTTTAAATTCAAATTATTATTTTTTTTAAAATAAAAACCTGATCTTAATTATTTTCGAGCTTAAAAAATCGGTCCGATGATCTAATTGACAGCTCTAGAAATAAGTTACATGCTGCTTTGTACCGTTGTACTTTCCAGACTTGACAGATGCTTCCTTGGTTGCAGTGTTGTGTGCGTCGCCAAAATTTCTGAAATCGACGCCCTGGAAGCTCTTTCCGGCGTATTCTGGAGGAGACGATGAGTCAAATTGCATGCCCGAGAACTGAATCTACTCCCCATCGTCTCTACGACTTTGCCAAAATGGCTCTCATCAAGATTTTCGCTCACCCTTATGCCACGGTATTGGCCCCACATCCATAATTTCTTGCGCTGTTTGTTTTTCCTGCGCTGATTTCATCTTTCTCGCTTGCTTCTATTCGGTTGCAATAATCCTTTCATTCATGTGTCTTGTATTGGTCTTTGGTCCCTGAAGGTGTGTGACTTGTATTGTGGAGGCGGAGCAGATGCTGATAAGTGGGATGAAGCCCAAATCGGTCATTATATTGGAATCGGTATTGAATTGTGACATCTTATCTCCTGTTGGTTGTGTTTATTTCTGCTTAAGTTTCAGTATGTTAACCGTGAATTGTTGCTATAGATGCGGCGTCGTCTGGGATTAGCCAGATACGAGAAGCGTGGGAGAGCCAGAGGAAAGCTTACACTACAGAGTTCTTTGAGATTGATCCCTGCACGGTGAGGTTTTCTCAATTTCCTTTGAAATTTTATCCGTGGATTTCTCATATAGTTAGCTTGGATTATATTCTTGATTTTAAATTTATAATGCCTTTATTATCCTTCGATCGCTTTTCGCATTTAATTTTTCTCTGTGGGAAGGAGTAATTGTTATTCTTCATAATTATGTTGTAAGAATACGTGATTTTATCCTTGATCTAAGAGCTCATTTAATCCTTTGAGCCGCTGAGATTTTTGTAGCCAAGAACTCATTTCAAGTTATTTTTTAGTAGTCACTGTTCACGAGCAAGGGATACCTTTTGTTTAAGGATTGCATGCCTGAGGCTGAGGTGCTTAGAATTGTTGCTTCATGCGGAAGATTCTGACATTTGCAGACCCTCTATTGTTATGCCAAAATAACATATGCAAAGAGAACTAACTATTGCAAATGTCAGGGGAAAAACTAATATTTTCTGACAGTGTTTTGTTGTCTTTCCAATGCTAAAAAATTACTGAAATATGCGAAGAAGATAATTCACTATTGCTAAGTCATTGAAATGTTAGGGGAAAACCTGTTTTTTTGGAAAAGGCTTCTCTGATAAGTGTTATTTTTTTATCCCCATATTGGGGTGGGAAGTGAGGATGGGGAATGTAGTTGTGATGCTGCTTGGAGAAACAATTAATATGTTCACAGTTGAGTGGCTGGAGTTGTGATTACCAGATGTTAGTTGAGGGATATTATAAGGTCATTGGTGGTAAGAATGGAAAATTTTGATTGTCGATAATATTAAGGAAGAAGCTATGGGTGTACTATTTTGTTTCCTTTTATTTCTGACATACAATGTATTCTGGTAGATTTGACATGTGTCAAATGACGAGGAAGGAGGGGTGAGGCTATGAAATCAATTGCATATAGATGACATCACTTCAAAAGAAGACATAGTGAGGAAGAATCAGTTGGGAAGAACCAGGCTCCTTAACAAAGAAAAGTGAACACCATCAATTAGAAAATAAAGAAAAGAATTGCAGAATAATGAGAGAAACTGACTAAACGAATATAGACCTTTATAGGATTGAATGTGCTGGGAGAATTGATATAGAATTAATGTCATGTTTGGAAATAAAGCTTGCAGTGCCTATGTGCTATTGTATTTCACTATTTCTCTTGTTCTTCCCCTATTTTTCTTCTTTTTTCTATCCATTAATATGCTTTTATCATTGTGACTGTGGTTTTCATTTCCTCATCAGTTACAACATTTCCATGAAGCATTTACTGTATCAACATTTAAACAAGCTGGAAATTTTTGTCACTGCCTCCTTTCCCAATATTTCTACAGTAACATTTAGGCATGACAAGCCAAGAGAGTGTCTATTACACTTTTGACGTGAATTCAATTTTACCTTCATTTACCTCCCGTTAAGAAAAAAAGTGAAGAAATGTAAGTTGTATATTTGATATTATTTGTTCTGAATATGGTATCAGAATACTCTGTAATGTTGGAATTGATGAAGTGCATGGTTTGTGATAACATGAACACCTATATGTGACTTCAAGAATGGATCATGTTAGTTGTGCCCAAAAAAAAATGGAGAAACTACATTTATTATTAACTTTTTCATTTATTATTTTTTTGACAGGAGAATATAGATATGCATCTGCAGGAGAGGACCAATAAGGCTGATCTTGTCTGCTGTTTGCAGCATTTGCAGGTTTCCATTTGCTTTCTACTTATGTTTTCTTGCATTATTTTACTTTTTTTTTTGGCTAATTTTTTAAGGTTTATTAGAGCCTCTTTTTGCTTCTCTTAGGAGATAGCTTATCCACGTCTTTGTGATCATTCTCTTGAAGTAGTTTTAGAAAAATGGTTGAGGAGGCAAGTCCTAAGAAATGTGTTTGTAATCACTGGAACTTTTATTTTGTTTAATTTTTTATTTTTATTGGTCTTTCAGGATTTCTTTTCTTTTATTTCTTTCTTTTCTGAATAACTTATCCACATGCAGTTGTGTTTTGAGAGCGAGGAGAAAGCACGGAGACTTCTGCATAATGTATCATCTTTGCTGAAACCAGGGGGTTATTTTTTCGGTATTACTCCTGACTCATCTACCATATGGTATGAGACATGTGATTGCCAAAGGCTCCTTCTTGGATTTAGTTGCATGCACTATTCTTTTGGTTTTATTAAAGTGTTATTCATTTAGGAGGGGGGGTTATGTTCTTGTCTGTCGTTTAATATGCTTGTTCAACCATGAGCTTGATATCTGCTATCATGACTGCCATGTTGTTGATTTTTTAATTTTATATTCTTACATGCCATGTGTCTGGTTTCTTAATATGTACTATAATTTTGATAATTTTACGCTTTTCTGCTTAAATACAAGACTGAAGGTTTGCCCCCTTTTAGTTCAGTGGTAATCATTGCATTTCATGAAGTGCTTATCTTATTTTCACAAGTATAATGCGAGCCCTTCTTTCTGTCCAATAAAACCCAAGAAAAGGGTAAAGAACTGTCTAATTGTTTCAGATGAAGCCTACATGACATATCCAGATTTACACAAGTAATGATCTTTTCTTGTACAGATTTTTTTCTTATTCCCTCTTTTGCATATAGTTGCTTCTATCTAGTATGGGGTTCACATTCATTAATTGTAACTCTGTATTGCTTTGGTCATCATTACTTTTTTTTAGATAATTAACCTGAAATTAACATGAATTTTGTTGATCGTTATGAACAAATGAACTGGATAATGTTAAATCAGCAGTTCTTTCTTGTTATACATGGCTATTTAGGGCTAAGTACCAGAAGAATGTTGAAGCTTATCACAACAAAAGCAGCAGCATGAAGCCAAACATTGTTCCCAACTGTATTCGGACAGAGAATTACATGATTACTTTTGAAGTTGAAGAAGAAAAGTATAGTCCTTTACTACTAATCAACTGCTTGCTGCTTATTTTCTTTGGGTTAATTTAGTAAAAAGTTATTCCATTTGAATGTGTACTGTTACCAGGTTTCCACTATTTGGAAAGAAATATCAGCTGAAATTCTCTAATGATGTCTCTGCAGAAACCCATTGCTTGGTTCACTTTCCAAGCTTCATCAGGTTGTTGTCTTATTCCATAACCTATAATTAACAATGAACAATGACTGAGTTGTTACGTTGGTTAATACTGAATATTATGTTGATACCACTTTCTGCTACTGACCATTTACTGATTTCAAGTGTGCAAGCTTTGTTGCCATTTTCTTTAGACTTTTTATTTAGGCTGCAGATACAATTAATAACAATCATGTTAAAGTTGACTTTGTAATAGTTGGATGGGGAATTGAAATCTTTGGGAGGATAAATGTATTACGGATTCTTGTGCTGATAACAAGCAGTGATGGGTGGGATGTTCAAACTTCACCGACACCATGTTGTCTGCATGTTTATTTCAGTCCATGCTTGTTTTGTGTGTGTGTGATAGAGCTGGAAAATTTATCAAAACATATGAGAGGAAATTGAGGGGGGGACAAGGGTCAGAGAGGAAAGATCCAGCAGTTCAAGGTTATTGTCCTAAGGTTCCTGATAATGGGGAGTAAGTAATGATGCTTGTAGAGTGGCAATAGACTCAGCTTAGGTGTTAGTGTTACCTTTTGGGTTGCTTTAATATTTTGCTTTGTTTTGGGGAGGGACTCAGACAGAATGTTTTAGAGTGAAGACAGAAGTGAGGAGAGTCTTGGTCTCTCAAACACCAGGGAGGGACTGTTTCAGTATTGTGTTTTTATATTCTTAGTACTTGTTAGGGAATAGGGTTTTGGGGAAAATCAATGAAGGTCATTTTGAAACACGGATTCAGTTATTCGGTCATTAATAGCAAAACCTCAGCATTTCCCTCATTAATTGCTTGTTATTGTAGCGTTCTGTTGTAGTGCATTTAATTTTAGAGTTGGGCTCTATCAGAGAGTGCGGGGGTGTGTGTGTGTATTCGATTTACATTTAACAACCTATTACTTTTGTTTGGTGCAACCTAGGTTGGCGAGAGAAGCTGGCCTTGAGTATGTGGAGATTCAAAACTTGACTGAGTTTTATGATGACAACAGGTACTACTGCATTTTGTTAGAAAATTAGCTTTTAGAACTGTGTATTCAGAGGCTGATCCTTTTGAATCCTTCAATTTAATCTTCATTATTAGCATCTTTGGAGTTTTCTAGACTGGATATTCACGCTAATCTTTGTGGATGCTGAAAGAGCACAATTCGCAGGCTTGCTAATGAATTCAGTTCCAAACCTGTTGGATCCTAGAGGGAGACTTTTTCCTCGATCATATGATACACTTGGTGATTCATTTGTTATTTCTTGTTAACATGTTATTTCCTTGAAGTTTCTGGCTTCAATCTCATCAAGGTGGGTTTTTAAATTTTCAATATATTCTGATACAGGTCTCTATACCACGTTTATATTTCAAAAGCCTGACCCAGATATCACGCCCCCAATGTCAACTCCATTAATGCAGGATCCCACTTATAGTCATGATGAGGTAAGCATGTCTAGTATTAAGCCCTTAAAAGGCAGCTGGTAAGCCTAGTTCATGCTTCCAGTTGGAAAATGCTTCTCTGTTGTATTGTAATTACTTTGTAGAAATTCATCTTCCCTATAAAGAAAAGTTTGAATATGCTTTTTCGTACATATGTATATACGTGATTGGATTCAGTGATCTATACATTCGTCTCCCAATTCCATGGTATGTGTGTGGCAGGGAACCGGTTGGCGAGATGAGGAAATTAATGTACCAGTACAAGTCCCAGTCCCAGTCCCAGTCCCAGTTCCAGTTCCAGTTCCAGTTCCATTGCCAGTTATAGTTGTAGAACCTCCTCTTGGGTTGGGCAAGATAAGCGAACAAAAAGGGATTTTGGGTCCTGGACCTGCTGATTTACGATTCCCAGAGGCAATCTGATTCTTTAGGAGAGGAAGATATATATACTGTTTAGAAGCATGATTTTTCTCAAGTGGATTCCATGTACACAAAATGGGCAAGTGAAACTAGTTATGAGTAGACACGTAGCAGCTATACACTCTCTTTCAGGATGACTATTTTTTATATGTTCTATGAATGGTTTGACACACTACTTCTGTTGTATATGAGGTCTGTAGTCTTTTAGAGGGGAAGGAAATAGACACGTAGTTGATCTAGCACTATGATTCGGTGTTTATTTTAAAGGCCTTAGCATTCAGATTCTTGTGTAGGTCCCTCTTTGTGGAAATCTTTTGTTCAAAAGTTCTACTTTCTTTGAGGATGCACTAGCAGTCACCACCCATTCCTTCTCTTTTACATAAAGCACTCATGACTCCATGTCTATCTTTTCTGGTTGGAGGGGAATGGAGGAGGGGGGAGATTCTAATGAGTTCAGTTTTTTTAAAAAAATGGAGAAGTGGGGTTAAAATATTATAATTAATTTTCCTTACTCTTTTAATTTGCATCCTCCCTTTATTAGAATTTTATAACCCCACTTATCCATTTTTTAGAAATTGAATTCATGAGAGTTTCCTCTAGTTCATTCCCTTCCACCCAAACAGGGAGTTGATAAATCAAGTACAAAATTTTTTAGCAGAAAGTAAAAACGAAATTGAGTTGAATTGAATACAGGTATGCAAAATCTGGTTAGCACTGGCCGTTTTCTCCCCTCTTTTTGAGTAAAAGTTGGGCATGTGTATTCATTTGTTTATTCCCCATAGCTTGAGTTTAAAAATGGTGGTTGTTAGTCATTACAATTTGCAACCAAAAAAGAAAAAGGTGGAGGGACAAGGAGTCAAATCTTTCTTTTTCTTTAGTTTGGTAGATAAGATCCAATGATTCCTAGTCAAGTCTTCTTTAAAGGTTCTTTTGGTAAAAGCCTTTTTTGGAAACTTTTTAATTGTTCAAGACCATTTGCTTTTAGTTTGTTCTAGCAGTCTTTGTAGATTTAAAAATTTTTTTTGAATAAGATAATCAATCAATTCGTAGATCTCGTATAATCAAGTTAGTTCACAATTTAGTTGTTTCATGCAAAATTCTTATTCTCAAATGTAACAATTATCATTGTAATTTTAATGTAAATAATGTGTCGTTGACATTTTAGTTTTCATATTAAAACTAATTAATGTATTTGGATTTGTTTTCATTGTTTATTGATGTAATAGGAGAGATATAAGCATGATACGGAGATTAAAAAAAATTATTCAATTCAATATTATTTATAGTTTTTTTTGCCAGATAATTCAATGTTATTTATACTTTAATAATTATATGGAAATATAAGATTGCTTTACTAAAAAAAAGTAATAAAATATTGGAGATGGAATTTCGTTAACAAGCGATGCAAAAAAAAAAAAAAAAATCCAACCTAATTATATAGAAATATAAGACAGCCGTATAATGATTACAAATAATCATAATAAAAAATTGAAGCATACGGAATCTTTGTATTTCTTACACAAAAAGCATATGATACTAATGACTAATGAAGGACCCTAATCAGCTTCCTTTAATTCTTGGTCTCTAAAATAACAAGAAAAAAAGCCTCATGAACTGAATGATGAAAATTAACGAGCCAAGAGGTAAGAAATACATCCTCTTATTATTATATTAATTCACTAAGCATGTCTTAAGAATAAATACTAGTAATTAAGAATTGATTGGTACGCGGCTGCCAAAAGACAGAATAATTAGCAAGTATTTGTATTGATTGATAATCTAATTTGGTCTATATATCTTTAAGCGACAAGGAGAAGGACAGTTGGGGTTCATCGTATATTGTGGAGTCTTTTGTCATTTTCAATAATAGACTGAAACCTTGCTTTGATAAGTGTCTTTGTATTATTTTAATATTTAAAGACTTCATTTTTTTTTAATGTTAATTTCAATTTCATCTCCCCAACATTTGTATCTCATTCCAAGTAGCCCCTTCATCATGCTTCTCTGGCTTTTTAATGCATCAAAAATTTAATTTGTTGAGGAAACCCCACTCACGTTGAAATATGATGTTTTTTTTTAAAAATTAAATTCATGCATATTGAAAGTATTTTTTGTCAAGTTGTTATGGAAAAAAAAAAGATTTTGTCAAGTTAATGCTAAGAACTCAAGTATTTATTTCAAACAAGTTTATTTTTTTTAAAAAAAATTCATGCATATTGTAAAAATAATGACTTAAATATATTAGTTTATTCCTAATAGTCCCCTAAGTATAAGCCTAATTTGAGTTTCTGTAATAATTTTTTAGGTTAACAATCTCATCAGAAATTCAATAATTAAAATTCAAAAATAAATCTTGACGACAAAATTAAAGTAATTAGTTTCAACATTTGTTTTTTATCTACACCAAATTTTCTATTAAAGCACTCCTAATTTCGGGATAATGTTTTAATTATAAGTTCAAAACTCAACTCATTCAAACTCCCACAATGATGAATAACAAGTTTGATTTTAACATAAAAAAATGGGAAAAATCTTTCTATACTTTCATTGATTCTCCACCATGATATCGTTTATATGTATAATTAAATAAATATTTCAATTCAAATAGAAATACAATATATATATATATATATATATATAGTTATAGCTGTCAAAGGATAAATTGATCCACTTGTTGAAAAAAATCTTGTACCTAAAAAATATAGGCTAACTTTTTTAAAATTTAGGAGTATTGTCAATTCTCATTAATATATAAGGAATTTATCATTTATATACACAAAATTTATTATTAAAAATTTAAAAATTTACAAGGGATTATCATTGATATTAGGGGTATTTATGCGACAGAAAAAAGATAGGGGTTAAATTTGTATCTCGTCTTGTCCTGAAAATCATCCCATTCCATTAAAAATTAAGATGATATTGGTATAAGATCGGGACATTCTGCCATCCTGATAAATTTGACAATGTCAAAGAAATTTTTAGATAATAACATTAATTAAAATTTTAAATTATATAATTTATTAAATTTAAAATTAAAACAATACAAGTACATAAATTACAATAATTTAAAATCAATTATTAAATTACATTAATCACAACTATACATTAAAATAGTAATTACAAGTGATCTCTAGACTATTAGAATAGCAATAACAGGCTAGTTAAATATAATATCAAATTATAATTCTTCTACTTTAGTTAAGATGTGTTAAGTTAATTATTTTTTTAAAAATAAAGCAAAAATATGATATAAATAAAAGTTATTACATAGATAGATATAAGAATAAATTATATTAATATAATTAATATATTTAATGTATATTTTTAAAATAAAAATAATATATATATAATATTCGGGATGGGATGAGACTTCCTAATAGTAATCTCATGTCCTATTCCAAACCTCTTGTCTGTTCTATCTCGCAAAGTCTCGTCTTAATTGTATTCGGGTTGGGATGAGACTTGTCCCGATATGATCAGGATAATACTGATCCAATTGAGAGGAATACAATTTAAACACTCCTAATTGATATACAACGATATATTATTGATAAATATAATAAATCAATCATACTATAAAATATAATAAATATTGAGCTATTTGTTTGATTTAGTCCTATAATATGAGTTATGTATGCAAAAGCCTGTTAACCAAAATACTCCCTTTATCCTCAATCATAAGATATTTTTAAACAAAATCATACATATCAATAAAGCTCATTAAATATACTTGACAATCTTATTTTTTTAAGATAAAAATATAAATTTTAAAAATATCCTCCATTTAATTCATAAAAGAATATTAAAGAGAGAATATATGGTAAGAGTAATATTCAAAAAATTATTAATAAAATCTTATTTTTATTAAAATATCTTATATTTTAAAATATAATTTAAAAAAATATCTTATAATTCAAGTTATGATTATTATATATTGGTTTAATTAAAAATTTAACGTTGTCCTGAAGCGAGGAGGGCCACAATAACAGCTGTGGGGTGTGGACTATGGTCTGCGGAGTGAAAGTGGGGTTATAATTGTAAAAGCACATATTTCCGCGTGGTTGCCATTAATGATCGTGACGGAACTTCCTTTTAATTTGTGGTGTCACATTAAGTCCTTCTTATTATTCGTATTTCCACTATGCCCCTCCTTTTTATCCCCGGTCACAAGGTGGTTCTTACTTCCTTCAGCTTTTATTTTAGAACACCTGAATTTATTATAATTATATTTGATGATTTTTAATTGGTTATTAAATACTTTAAAATATAAAAAAAATTATCTGGCCCATTAATTTTCCGTTTCACAAAATATAGAGCGTCCTTTAATTTGCATAAAGCATTTTGATGAAGTGGGAAATAAAAATGAAATGAAATAAAACTGAGACTGAAAAAAAGAAAACAAATTGAGTTTAATAATATGTTTGGTATGATTTTTTTTTACCAGCATGTTTGATATGATTGGAAAAAAAAATGAAAGCCTGGAATCAATATTTTTCTATTCTATGTATTTAAAATGGAAAAAAAAAAATAATATTACCTTTATCTCTTTCACACCATCCTTCTCTCCTCTATCCCACACACCTGTCATCCTCCACTCTGCCTCTCTTCTAATCAGACTTTTCATATCGACAATAATCAACAAATCCTACACTAACCAACACTCATAATCAAACAACTTCTTATTAGAAAAGAAAAAATCAACAAATTCATATTATAGAAATCACAAACCAAAAAATAAAAATCAAAATTGGTGAAAGTAAATGCATATGTCGAGGATCTGGAGCAAATGAAGCTAATCGAACAGCTTGTACAGTGATGGAGTTCAAGTATCCCAGCAACTGATAAAATTTGGCAAATAGTGACAATAAATCTGGTGAATTTAATTAAGCGAACACTTTGAATGACAATAAATAAATGTGATGAACAAAATGGAGGGAGGCCAGCAAGTTTCTTGGATGGATTGCACAAGTGATGAGGTTAGATGAGGATGAAGAAGTAGAGGAGCAGAGAGAGTATTGAAGGTCATAGAGTCGGAGCATGTGGTGAACCAAACGGGACCTGGAAATTAGGTCAATCATTTATCACTTTACTCAAATTAACATGTCATGAAATCATGCATTTAACGATTTCTGGAAATGAATGATATTTGAATTGACAATATAATTGGTATATAAATATTTTTACTTTTACATGTCAAAATATATATAAATATATATATATATAGTCACTTTTATGAAAAATATTTAAGTAAATTGAGCGTATCATATTATTTGTAGTCTATTTAATAAAAATATGATATTTACATGCTATTAAATGTAAATTGATTTTGATATTAATAAAATTAAAAAAGAAAAAGTAAGAAATCAAATGTGTCTTCTGTTATAAAAATAAAATTAATTTAAAAAATATCACACAAAATTTTATTTAAATTATTTAAAATATTTTAATTGAACAGATTACAAATGATGTAGTGTATTTAGTTTACCTAAATATTTCTCACTCTTCTATCTATACTAACTTTAAAAATTTATCTTATTATAAATGATGCATTAATATCATTCACATAGAAAACTTGTCACTATTATGAAGCAATCATTTAATTATTAGAAATGTACACATAATATACCCATGTACATATTACAAGAAAAGAATATATGCATAGAAGGAATAGTGTCATTTTTTTTTTTAAACATGACACCCTACTCATTCCATCACATACTTGTTACCTAAATTAGCTTTGCATGAATAGTGATATAAATATATATATATATATATTATGAGAATAGTTATATTTTTATTAAAATATTTCTATAGAAAGATAAAATTACTTTCAAACGCATCTAAATTACTCTATCCGTTTTAAATTATAATGCATTTTTGAAAAAAATTTCATCTTAAAATATAAAATACTTTGAATAGATTATGATTTCATTAAATATATTAATTTCAATATCATCTTTCCTCCCTCTATAATTAATTTTTATCTCTTCTCTTTTTAATGTATTAAATGATGGGTATTTTTAAAAGTTTATATTTTTATTTTGAAAAGATAAAGTTGTTAAGTGTATTTAATAAGATTTATTAATATATCAAATTTTGTAAAAAAATATTTTTTAATTTAGGATAGAGGAAATATTTAAGTATTATATAACAACATGCTTGCTATCATGGAAAGACAATAATTCGGTAAATTTACAAGTTACGAAGACTTGAAAATTTTGGAAAATGTTTAAATAAGAAATAGAGAAGGTACGAAAACAGATTAAATATTTAAAATTTAAATCACAAGGATTTCAAATAATAGAAAGAAGAGGGGTCAAAATCTAAATAACCAATAATGTAATCCAACATATCCTTTATTTCACTCGCTTTCTTTTCTCTTTCTACCGTTTTCAGCTTCCTCTCGTGTTGGCTAATTTCCTCACTGCAACTTGCCCGGTCCTTCCCATTTCTCTTCTCTCTCTCTCTCTCTCTCTCTCTGAGTTCCGTCTTCCACTGAAGCTCTCAACTAAGAGGTTGATCCGTAAGTTTCTCGGTCTATTATTCTTCCATTATTGTTCTTGTTATGTTCCTCTTTTGATCCTACTGGATTGTTCTTGTTTGCTTTATCATTGATGTAATCAAATTATTTAGGGGCTAGAATTTGAGTTTAAACTTCGAGCTGATAATGTTTTACCAGATGAGAGAACAAATTGGTGAAATGATGTTAAGTAGATTTTCACTAGCAAAGAAGAAGTCAAGTGGTTATTATACTTTTCCAACCTACAGAATAAAGGTGTTGGAATCCGTGCCGAGTGATTTCTTGCCTCTTGGTAAGATTTGGGTGTTTTATTATTCCTTTATTGTCTCATACAAATTGGTTTGAAACGCTTAACGCTTTGCCAGAAAAGTATATTTCTTTCTTCTTTGTTCGTTTTTGTGAATTTTTGATTTGGTGAACGAGGGAACAGAAAGTAAGATATAGAATATTCAGATTTAGTTTGGGTCTAGACGATGTAATTTCTTTTTAGTTCCGGTATATATCATTCAGCAATATCGACAAGAAAGCGATGCTAATTTCTTTGCTTCTCAATTTAGTCTTTCTGCCTATCAAACTGAGAATTTTAAATTTAATAGATTCACAATATATTTCAGATTTTAGAAGTCACTAAATTTGTAAATAAAAAAAATGACAAAGTAACTCATCTAAGCTTTGGCGATCCAGCATTAACATGCTCGACTAGAAAATGTTCCAGCTTTCTAAATTCTTGTGAAGGTCTAGCTACTGAAGCATCACTTAGAAACATTCTGGCTTTCTAAATTCTTGTGAAGTGTAGCTATTGAATTTTGAATGTACTTGTGGTTTAAGAGTGTGTAGTTCTTGAAAATTGTAAGATGTTTTGATCAGTGGAGCTTATTATTGCTGCCTTTAGTATAAATTTTTAGATGATATCCTATGCTAAGCTTTTTGCATTTTCTTTTCACTATGGCTTGAAACTGGTCTGGTAACTAGTGTAACTTGTCTTTGTTGTTGTTGTTGTTGTTGTGCACAACAGAGCTTTGATGGAAAACTGATCTTCGAAGGCATATTTCTTGTGCTTTCCAAGGAAAGAGATGGTTGCCAATTCATGGTTTCGTAGTTTGTGGAAGACTCCACGGAAGCATGATGCTAAAATTGAGAAGGCAGTGATTGGAGTATTGGCATTTGAAGTGGCGAGCTTGATGTCCAAGCTGGTTAATTTGTGGCAATGTTTGAGTGATAAGCAGGTTGCTAAATTGAGAGAAGAGATTTCAAATTCAGTGGGCATAAAAAAACTCGTTTCAGATGATGAGAATTTTATTGTTGGTTTAATTAGTGCAGAGATGCTTGAGTCCTTGTCACAAGTGGCTAAATCTGTGGCTAGGCTTGGGAAGAAATGCAGCGATCCAAGTTTGAAGGGCTTTGGTAATGCCATTGATGAGTTTATCAGCATAGGTGTTGATCCATACGGCTGGCAACTCACTTGGAAGAAGATGGAAAAGAAAGTTAAGAAGATGGAAAAGTTTATATCAACTAATGCAAGTCTTTATCAAGAGATGGAAGTGCTTGCTGATTTTGAGCAAACTCTTAGAAGAATCAAGACTAATGGTGAGTCAGATGGTGTAAATTTGATTGACTTCCAGAAAAAGGTTGCATGGAAGAGGCATGAGGTGAAGAGCCTACAAGATGTTTCTCTGTGGAACAGGACATATGATTACACTATACTTCTTTTAGCCAGATCCTTATTTACAATTTTTAGTAGGATCAACCATGTATTTGGAATTCAAGAGTTTGTGGATGGTAGTGAAACCAACGATTCAAGGGACTTGAATTCCGACTATATTTACCGCAGCCAATCTGTTTCTGCATTGTTGCAACCTTCAGTCCACCCGTCTGAGAATAATCTTCCAAGATTTGCTTCAGGACCCCTTGGGGCTCTTATTGCTAACTCAGGTCCAATGGTGAAAACAAATAAAACCAGCATTTTTCATTCAGGTCCTCTTGGTGACTCATCCGCAAAGTCAGGCCCAATTTCAGGAAATAATCAGAGTGTCAATTTTTTTTCTGGTCCCCTAGGGAGGAATTTGCAGAGATCTACCCCACTCAGTCAAAAAAATAAAAGTGGCAAGGTTTGGAAGTTTCCTGGCCACACAAAGAAAACTCATACAAGAAGCAGTCGGCTAACTCAAGTAGGACCCTTCAAAGGCTGTATGATGGCTGCAGACGGTTCCTCTGTCCGCGAGTGCTACTTAAGCCCCAATGATGTTCAAATGGGGACTCACAATGTCCATGATGCTAATTCAAGCCTAGCTGGTCGTGGAAAAGCAGTTCATTATGATCAATCAGTTTTAAGTTCCAAGTGCAAGCTGTTAAATCCTCCGCCTGATACACTTGGTGCTGCTGCTTTGGCACTACACTATGCAAATGTTATCATTGTGATCGAGAAGTTGGCAGCTACTCCACACTTGATTGGCCCTGATGCAAGAGAAGACCTGTACAATATGTTACCGACAAATGTGAGAGCTGCCCTTCGGGACAAGCTAAAGCCATGTGCCAAGACCATGGCATCATCAGTCTATGACACGGGTCTAGCAGAAGAATGGACTGAAGCTATGTCAAGAATATTGGAATGGTTGGCTCCACTTGCTCATAGCATGATAAGATGGCAGTCTGAGAGAAGTTTTGAGCAGCAGAGTTTTGTATCTCGGACAAATGTGCTGCTGGTACAAACCCTTTACTTTGCAAATCAAGAAAAGACGGAAGCGACAATAACTGAGCTTCTTGTTGGACTGAATTATGTCTGGAGATATGGTCAGGAAATTAATACAAAAGCTTTGGCAGAGTGTGCCAGTAGCAGAATGTTCAATGAGTATCTTGATCTGAAAGGGTAAGCATGTTGTACTTAGCCCGTTGCTGTCTTCAACAAAATTCCAGTTCAGCGAGGAAATACGTTGGGCAAGTATCAACAAAATGGCTTCTTAAATCTCAACACTCAAGATCAAACGCTCAAATGCTGGGTGAAGTTGGGAGTAATGCGCTCTGCTGTGGAAATTTTAGTATCAGAATGAATTCCTGCTGGGATGAGTTTCATGAACATTTATCATTCTTTTTCTTTGACGAGTTCCTGGCTGCCAAAACTTGTATATCTGGTCTCATCTCGCAAAGAGTTGATCTTTTGGTGGGTGTTTGGTATGTAATATCTATGTTCCCAAGTAATTTGAAATTTACAAGATATTTGGTTATGAGACATTGAAAATTTTAATATACCCATGTTGGTTATTTCCTATCAAATATAGAAACAAGGTAAATATAAAATTCTCTGTGCTTGAAGCTTGAGATATTCAATCAGAATTCTCCTATTTTATGACAATTAAAGCATATAATTGAAATTTTAAAAAATACAATGTTAATTCACTTTAAGGGGGTAAATCATTAGTTCACTAATCCACGATCATAGTTAAAATAATGGTCAAGTAGTGATTTGAACCCTTGGGTTTTTTTTTTTTTTAGGATGAATGCTTTACCAACAGGCAAACATCTCGTTGTCAAACAACAAAAACACCAAGAATATGACGGGGTTTAGTGGGCTTATCAGAACTATAATGGTAATTGGATAATTGGAAGCTATCATAACACAGGCTTCTGTGACATCTTTATCAGGCTGCACTATATGGAGTTCTTGACGTCCTTGATTTGCCTTGGTCACGGGGTTTATTAGACATGTTCGGCTCGCAACCTACAATAGATTGCTAGTTTAATACTCCTTCCTGTCCTTTTTATAAAGTACATTCTAAAAAATTTATTTAATTTTTTTTTATAGCTTTCAAGATAAAGCTACGCGTACATTGCCATAGTTTTTTTTTTTTTTTTTGGGGGGGGGGGGGGGACACTTGATCTTGATCATGACCACCTGACATCTAAATACATAACTAATCCTCCCAAAAATGAAAGCAAGAAAGAGAGAAACCCTCAATTAGACCTTGTAATTTTTGAACCTGACTCAGTTAAATCGTTAAACCGAGAGAGACAGATTCCCTTTAGACATTAGCAAAAAGCTTGTTTGCTGTCAAAAACCCTTGGATCAAGTGGCCTGTCATTGGATTCTGGGTTTGATCCTGTGTCTACCTGCATAAAAAAAACAAAGGTAAAATTTATTGTTGAAATTCTCATCAAAAAGCGCCCAATATTTTAAAATATATTTTCTCCGTTAAAAAATATAAAATATTTTTAATCAAATATCACCTTTTAATAAAATAATTACTTATTTTTAAAGTAATTTTATCTTTTTATATTTACTCCCATTAAACACCCTACAATAAATATAAAGTTATTCATTAATAAGGACATTTTTAAAAAAAGAAGATGATTATACCTCAAAAGACTAAAAATATCTTACATTTTTTAACATTTAATTTTTTAAAAAATGCTTTACATTTTTAAACGAAAGCAGTATATTGTAGTATTTTTTTTTTGGTACAATATTGTAGTATTTTTACTTACAAAGTATTTAAAACATAACATCCTACAGTTTCTTTTTTTGGTACAATATTGTAGTATTTTTACTTGCAAAGTATTTAAAACATAACATCCTACAGTGAGGTTAAATAGCAACAAACAGCCGTTACAAAATGCTGATGCGGACTGAAAATGTTGATGGGACCTTGTTTGACTGAGGAAAAATGAAACAACAACCAAACCCACTATACGACTCCAGAAGTTATTATTATTATTTATTATACACTCCAAAAGCACCCGACCATACGCTATCCCCCTCCTTTAAAAAAAAAATAATAATAATAAACCAAAAGCATTACCTTAACTCAAGAGTTGGAGTAAACATAAGCCAATAAGAAACAAAATTCTAATAAACATAAAACTATCCAAAACCTAAGCAATGAAAACCATAGCCCCGTCGGCCTCCTTGATCTTCTTCTCCGCGTTCTTGGAAACGAGCTTAGCCTTCACCAAACCAGGCTGGTTCTCCGGCAAAACTCCCTTACCCAAAACCTTGAAGTGCCCATACTAAGTGACATCGATCAAGGGAACATTGTCCTTGGATCCCTTCTCTTTCACCTCATTAGGAACCAATGACCAGAGCTTGTCAATGTTGACAAGGGGGCAGTAGAACTTGTTGTGAAGCTTATGGAAGTAGTGCACACCCACTTTCCCGAAGCAACCAGGGTGATACTTGTCAAAGAGGATTCTTTGATGGTGGGGCAGTAGAACTTGTTGCTTCCTGTGCTTGCCAATGCAACTGTGACCGGCACTCGCATGGCCGCGCTTACGATTCTTCTTGAAGCGGGTCGTCATCTCCGATCTATCCCCGCGAAAGCTTCTCTTCTCTGAGGTATCGGTGGCACAGCCCCTCCTTTAAGATACATCAAGGTATTCTCTTCTTCACTTCCTTACCTGCCTTCTTCTTCTGCTTCCCCGATTCGAACCCACTGCACAACACATATCACCTTCTCATCTTTCCTTCTCATTCTTGCTCGCTTTCATCCCCTGTTGCGAAGCTGAGCTTTTCTCTGTTTCTTTGGTTTGAAACAGGGGTGATGATGCCAGCCGAAATCCTGCGCTTTCTCCAATCTTGATGAGCTTCAGCATTCCGCAATTCCTTATGTTCAACATGACGATGCGACAGAGACGGCTATGACTATGAGAACGGCTTAATCGTGAGGCAGAATCTTGGTGGGGCTTCAAACAATGATACTGGCTTGCTGTGACCTTCGAACATCTACTGTTGTCTTCATCACCAACATCACTCCGAACGTTCGCCACACAGTTCGCCCAGGCCGTCACAGTCACTCCATACCTGGGGACGGAGAAAGGTCAAAGAAGCTTGAGCGGGTGGCCGTGGACATTTGAAAAATCACTGTGCGTGTTTTGGTCAGCAAAAGTAATTTTCTAGGACAATATGATGTGTTTATGGTAGAGAAAATGCACAGAAATAAGGCCCACCAAATTGACTCTAATGGGCTTTCATGCTTGTTCAACGACGGGGAAGTGATGTTACGTTTTGATTATTTAAGGGGTAAAAATATTATACAAAATACTTCAAAATACTAAATACTTTTTTAGAGAAAATTTTGGAAATAAAAATATATTTTTATCCTTCAATAAAACAATTTTCAACTCACTTTCTATGATATTTGCAAAATAACTTCTAAATAAATGCAATTAGTCCAGTCTCTTTCAAATAATTAGGATATCTAAAATGCACCAATGACTCTCTAAATAAATATTCTTAGAAGCAGTACAATCTATCTATAACCTACATCATGGTCTAATAAACAGTACATGAACAGTGCATCCACGTGAGCTTCAACATTGCTATATCAATTCCACCCCGGCTTCTTCAATTCCTCTTTTGAAAGAGTGGGTCCCTACTTGGCGTTTTCTCATCACCTAATATCAAATGCTTTTATCAATTTCACTTCAATCAATAATTTAAATTAAATTTGATGAGTCAGTTCGAATTCATTTAAAAAATTTAAAATTAAATTTAAAAAATATTATTTTTTAATGTTTAAGTTTATTTAAATGGCCTGAACTTGAATAAAAAAATTTAATTTTTTTCAAAATATAATAAATATTAATTAATTATTTTAAGTTTTATATAATTTTATATTAAAATATTATATATTAAAATGAATTATTTTAGTTATTTTTTAAAAAAATTAAAAATATTTATATTTTTATATTTTTATTAGTTTTAATTAATAAAATATCTCAAAATAATATTTAAAATATATTTTAATATTTTTTATATTTTAAAACCCAATTTTTTTTAAAAAAAAGTGTTGAGTCTTGTATATTATTTACGCATCCAAAAAATATTTTTTTTGTAAAATAAGATAATTAATCTTAAAGTAAAAATAATTTTAAAAATAAAATCTGATTATGTACAAATTTTTGAATTTACTACTAAATAAACATAATAAATAAAATAATATTTTTAAATAATTATTTAGTTATCATTTATGCGAGATTTAGTTAAAAATTAAGAATAAATTAGAGTAAAAATCTCTTGTATGTAAAGATTAAATAATATAAAAATTTAAATAAAAAATAATATTTTACTCATAATTAAATAATTTTATTTTATATAATATAATAATGGCTTTTTTTATATTTTTAAAAATAAAAAATAAAATTTATCCAAAAGTTATTAAAAGCTTTAAATTAATCAGGACAATGATTTTAAATTAGTAGTATAATCGTGATTGAATTAAGATCAATTTAATCATAATTAAATAATATAAGTTAATTAAAATATATAAAATATTTATATATGACCATGATAAAAGCAATATTTAAAAAACTAATACATTAATTTACAAGTAAAAAAAAATTTATGAATAAATTACACATAATACAATAAAATAGTAACAAAGCTACTTAAGTACAAAGTTGATAAGTTATTATTTTTTATTTTAAAGTTAAAATAATATTTTATACTTAACAGAATTATTTAAAAATTAAATTGATTCAAAAAATAAAAAATTATTTTTAAAAAGTTTCAGACATTCAGGCCGACTTAAATAAGCCCGAAACCATAAGATATTATGGCCGAGCTTGGCTCTATAGACTTTTTAAAAGGGATAAGATACTTTAAACTCGATCCAAACAAGTTAACCAGAATTAAGCCCGACCCTCCCGAATTACCGGCTCTATTAGCCTTTGTCAATTTTTTCCTACCTATAGTTTTACCCATCAATTCCACATCATCCACGTTAGTCTTGTTTATTTTCTTTCAATTTCTCAATATGCAGTGTAGATGGAGAGTGGTGGGTCATTTGGCTGGCTTTGGCATATTTCAAATTTTTTTCTGGTATTAGCAGTGCACAACATCTTACATTTCTTAAACTCTATGAACTTTTCACTGTTAAACTATCCATCTATAATGATGAATCCTTTTTTTCTTTTGTCTCATATGGGTCCTATTAATTTTTAATATCTCCCTATTTCGTTTCTAGGATTTTCCCATCCCTTTTGTCATCTTTTTTCTTTTTTAAGGCCTCAAAGTCGAGCTCCTAACCTCCGACAGACCTCAAGTGTTTTTTTCGTTCTCCAGCTATTTATTGTGCATTGTTTGTATCTGGTTAGTTTTTTGTTCATTTTTCCCCTTCTTAGAGGATTTGTTTGGCTTTGTCAATCTCAATTGCATTCAGAGTAAAAGACTTGTGATGCCCTCGATATTCTAGGTTCATTTTGTTCTTCGTCCAGTCATCTAAGCTTTACATAGACAATTTAAGGAACATTTTGCTATCAAATAACAG